TAATTGAGATAAATATAATCAACACACATCCGCCATTTTCCATTATTCTTTTTGACTAGTACAACATTTGACAACCAGGTTGAATATCGGGCTTCAGAAATAAAATTTGCCTCTAGAAGATCTTTTACAGCTTTTTCAGCAGCCTCCATTTTCTCCAGAGACTGCCTACGCCTACATTGTACTACTGCCTTAGCGGCTGGGTCTATGGCGAGACGGTGGCAGGCGACCTCAGGGTCGAGTCCGGGAATCTCCACGGTGCTCCATGCGAACAAGTCAGCATTCTCGCGCAAGCAGGCTTTGATTTGCTTCCTTGCCAGGTCGGGGAGGTCGGTACCAATCTTCACTCCCTTGTTTGGGTCCTCGCCGAGGGGGACGAGCTCGAAGTCCCCGTCCGGAATTGGTTGGAGGGGAATTTGCTCGCCGTTGGGAGGTTCGTCCTGATCGAAATGGGTATCCAGAGCTATGGAGTCGACCTTTGGGGGAGCTCTCTGGTCTTCTGCTTTGACGGGCTCTGATTTGTCGGGCTCCTGTTGTGTCGTCGCCAGTCTCTTGGCAGGCCTTGTCCCAGTGTCGATCGTGTCACATCCCTTGGATGCAGCGTTGAAACACCTTCGAGCAGAGGCTAGGTCCCCCTGGATGGTAGCAACCCGTGCCCTCTTGGTGTAGAACTTCATCTTCAAGTGGACGGTGGAGGGCACCGCGGTCAGCTCTGCTAGTGTTGGTCTCCCCAAGATGCAGTTGTAGAGGGACGGGCAGTCGATGACGAGGAAGTGCACCTTGACCTGCCTCGTCGTCGTGTCCTCGCTGAAGGTAACCATGAGCTCGACATATCCCCAAGGTTTGGAGGTCGAGCCGTTGAAGCCCTGTAAGTCCGACCCCACGTACGGCGAGAGGTGCGAGTCGTCTAGCTGCAGAGTCCGAAATAATTGGCTGTACATCACGTCGCCGAAACTTCCTTCATCGACGAGGATGCGGTGCACGTCAAAGTTGGCCATTCTTGCTCTTATCAGCAAAGGAATGACTGCGTTGGGGGCTCCTCCGAGGAGCTCTTCGAGGTAAAAGGTGATAGGCTTCGACCTACCTTTCACCCTTTCAAAAGTCACCGTCTGAGGAGGCGCAGAGTCGACCAATTCATCAAGCTTTCTCTTGGCCGAATTGATGGTTAGGTCTTTGAATCCTCCACCATTGATGACCATGGTGGAGGGAAAGTATTCCCACCTGCTGTGTGTCGTGAGTGGCTCCTGCAGGTGTTCGGGGACGTAGAAGTCCTCCGGTCTGGTGACGGAGAAGGCGGTCTGGACGGGGACCGACTCGTCAGATGGTCGGGCGTCTTCCTCCGATTCTCTTGTCTCCCGGGCGTCGCGACGAGGAGCGTTGTTTCGTCGGTATTGGGCGAGCCTCCCTCCCTTGATGAGGGTTTCGATGGCGTCCTTCAGGTGGACGCAGTCTTCAGTCAAATGACCATGGCTCCTATGGTACTGACAGTATTTGCTCTTGTCTACTCCGGGATTGGCAGGAGTAGGTCGAGGGCGCTTGACGCCGCCGTCCTTAAAATCCGTGCTGGAATACTCCTCCAAGATGCGCTCGCGGGAAGCTGTGAGCAGAGTGTATTCTGTGAAACTCCCTGAGGGTCCTCTTTGCTCTCGGACTTCTCGGGGTCTGTCTTCTTTTCTTTTCTCCCCGGTTCGTCGAAGAGGAGTGGCTTCTTGGCGCAGGATGCTGCTAGATCCGCGAGTTCTGGGGTCCCAGGCTCTGTTGGCCGCCTCCCTTTCCTCGTAATCCATGTATGCGCAGGCCTTCTCGAGGAGAGCATCGAATGTTCGGGGTGGTTCGATGCCCACTGCCTTTCTGAATTCTGTGTCGGGGAGGAGCCCTCCCTCCAGCAAGTAACTTTTCATGTGGTCCGCGCAGGGGACCTGTATGGCTTCGCGATTGAAGCGATTAATAAACTCTCTCAAGGTTTCATCCTGTCTCTGGATGATGGCCTCGAGCGCTGCCTCGGTCTTTGGGTGTCGCCGAGATGCAGTGAACGAACTTATGAATTGATTCTTCAGGTTTCGCCATGAGGTGATTGATCCCGGGGTGAGGCCTTTATACCAATCCATCGCTGCCTTTCTGAGGGTTGTGGGAAACAACCGGCATTTGATGGGTCCCCCGACATTATGGTAATGCAGCATAGCCTCGAACCCGTCTATGTGGTTGACTGGGTCCGCGACTCCGTCGTATTATTTCAGATGTGGAGGCTTCTCCATGCCCGGGGGGGATGGGCGCCTCCATGATGGCTTGTGACAGGGGAGCGCGGGGGTCGTCCTCGTCACTTCGCTCTAGGGATAGGGATGGGGACCTGAGATATTGTCGTGCCCGACGGTCCTGGTCGTGCTGGGTATCCCTCGAGTGGGGTGCTCGTTGATCAATTCTTCTGTGCCTGTCTCCGGAGTGTCTTCTTTCTTGCCGTATGGGGCCATGGTTGCGCCCTCCGACTTCAATGACGGGTTGCCTCTCTAAGAGGGGTCGTCTCCTCGACGGTCGGGGCGACGAGCTTTGGGAGGTGTCTCTGTATTGTCTCCGCGGGGGAGATGGGAGATGTACCTCTGTTACTCGAGGAGGTGGAGTCTGAGGCCTCCTGTGTATCCTCGCGGGTATTCTATCGTCTTCTAGTGCCCTCAATCTTTCCCCCTGGGCAAAGATGAGGTAGTTGGTTTGATTGATCGCCGCGAATAGTGCGCGGGTTATGGCATCTGCCACGGTGGGGACAAGGACTTCCTGAAATTGGGCAGCTAGATAGTTTGGGGGAGCTGCATTGTCTTCTTCGAGCGGCGGAGGGACTAAAGAAGATGAGGCAGTAGCTCCGTCGCGGTGGACTGAGGGTCCGGGGATGGTGCCCCCAGGGAGTGTGTTATGGTCGGGGTTGCCGGCGTTGTCGGAAATTCCGTTTTTATCTGCGAGGTTGTTGTTGACGTCGACAACGCGGATGTTCTGTTCGTCCCGGACTTGGTCATCCATGACGGTAGGAGGTGATTTTGAGCTTTGGTCTTCGAGGGTTTGCAAGACGGGGAAGCTAGTTTCCCACATACGGCGCCACTGATCTTACTTGATCAGACTTGGACCGTCACAACTGGCTCGGGCAGAATTTGAGTGAGATGGGGGGGGGGGGGGTACCTGCAAGACACTCTGATGCTAAAATGAGTGACGAAATGAGCAGGCAAAAGTGTATAGGTGCGTAAGAGATGAATACCTGACCCTCTAGGAACAGAGGGTATTTATAGCCCCCAACGTTGGGCCAAGGTCCCCTCATTGGGCCGACCAGAACTGACCCAATAAAGGAACTGGCAGGTTCTACGTGCGTAGTGGGGCCCTGCACGTGGTCCCCTTCCTGGTGATGCTCTGCGAAGAATGAGGAGGGACGAAGACGCGGTCTTTCCCGAGTTTAGATGGTTTGATAACTGTCAGAGAGGATAGAATCTGCCCTACGGGGAGAGTGCTCGAGCAGGACTCGAGCTAGAATTTCCTTGGTCGGGGACACCATGTGTCGCTGGCAATGGCGGACATGGTTGCAGTCTGTGGTCGGGCACGTTGGCGGTTGATCCGCGGGCACGCATTCCTCGAAGACCTGCTTGGATTGGGCCTTTATCCCTACTTTGGGCCAAGACGGGCCTAGTCCAGAACAATACCGATACTCATACAAACGCACTAGTATTCTACTTATTTTTATAAAAAATATCAAGTTAAACTAATTTGTAATGCACGTGTTATTCTTATAGTAGAAAAAGAATATAAATTAATATGTAAAGTTCATTATTCAATGAATGAATTGAATATAATATTAAAAAATTAAGTTTGTTTATAATAAAATAAACATGAATGATAGTACCCAAAAAAAATAAAGAATTAATCTAAATGAATGTCAACTTTTCTAATTAAGCAAGAGTCAAAATGGGAATTTCTTGTATAACTAACTAACACTATAAATTAAGTATGATATTTTAATTAAAAGTACTATTTCAAATTTTGTTTCCATTTCAATATAAGTCTTCATTCATCATAGTCATCCTCTTTGTTCATCTAATACAATAAAGTGAGAGAAACGTTTTCTTCTCTCTTCTACGTAATCTTGCTTGTTCACCTTCATAGTGTTCATGGATTGGAAGTATGCTAATAGAAGGGGTTTTAGAAACATTAAACTTAGGTGAGACATTTCTACAAATGGAAGGGGAGCAATAACGGAGGATGCAGCCAAAATATCCTCCATTTTTTTTTGAGTTTCATGATAGAATTTGATCTTCGGATATTTTTGGGATTTTTAGATGTGTGGAGGAAATTGTGGAGGTGGTGATTTCACCAAGGAGGAACAAGTTCGAGAAAAGATTTGGTTTCACAAGGTTTAAGAATGTAGGGGATTCTAGGGTTCTAGCTATTAAGTTGGATAACATTTTGATTGATGGAAAGGAGATTCATGTGAATCCTCCCAGGTTCAACTGTAACGATGGTAAAGGTAGAACTGAGTTCTCTGGTGGTAGAAGTGGAGGGATTTGTCATGAGAAGAAGGAGATTCCAGTGAGAAGGGTATATGGGTTTTAAGAGACGAATGGTTCCATTTCTTTTGTGGATGCTGTTATTAATAAGACGGGTGACATTCATAAATCGTTTGAGGGGCTGAAGTTCTTTTCTGAGACAGAGGATAGGGAGAGACTATCAAAGGCTTACATCAGAGTAGTGTCTGATATGGGAACTTCTTAAAACATTAAAAATTGTTTCTTTTTAGAGGGGTATTTCGTGGTCAAGGTTACGCCTCTTGGAGCAAATATATGCTTGCTTGAAGAATCCGAAGAAGGGGAAATACACGACTTGATCTGGGAAGCCAAATCATGGTGGAGCCAATGGTTTAGTGTCAACAGACCATATAGGGAGAGTGATATCGATAATGAACTACATGGATACGCATATATGGAGTCTTGTGTCACATTTGGATAGTGGAGTTCTTTGTAAAAGTTGCCAATACTATGGGATCTTATTTGTGTTCTGATGTTAACATATTGAAAAGCTCTAGCATGGATTTAACGAGAGTGATGGTCAGAGTTGCTTGTGATTTCATTTTGAAAGAATCCATAGAGGCGAAGGTTGATAATGTTATGTACACTTTGATATTGAGGGAGGACACCTTTGTCCCTTTAAGGATTGTTTCAAACTCTCGAGTTTCTAAGGATATGGAGAGTGATGATTCTAATAATTTGGAGGGGGAAATGAGGGAGGACAATGATGTTGGCGATTGCTATGGCGAACCTCTGTTTCAGGAGGAGGATACATGGCCAGATGAAGCGGAAGAGGAAGGGGAGTTATTTTGTATGTTGGATAAAAGGAAGATGCAAGCATAAAGTAGTGATGGTGACAAGTCTGGGTTGGTTGGTAAAAAGGCAACTGTAGTGTCCTTTGTTGATGTTATTACAATGGCAAAAGCGGTAACATGTCAGGCAGGTAGGAATGGTGTTAATCAATTGGTAAGAAACTTTTTGTCTTGTTCGGATGGAACAAGGGTTAGCTGTATTTTTGGTTCTAAACAAACAAAAATGTGCCCCAATAATGTGAGTAGATACAAAAAGGAGGTGACCTTGTTTGGTGGGGGCCACGAGTATAGAAAAAAAGGACCAAGGATTTTTAAATTCAAAAAGTTGTGTTGGAATGATGGGTTTCTTGGTGTCAAGAAGAAGTTTAGGCCCAAAAGGAAAAAACAAAGGGTGAAAACTCTATCTTCTGATACTATTGAAAGCTCTCAGTTATGCAGAAAATTCCACTCGGTTGGGCATGTGGAAGAGGAAAATTACTTTTATTTACCCGAAACTATTTATCATGGTGATCAATCAGTGGCCTCAGATACTTTGAGGAGCAACTTTAGCATGTGGGACAACTTGGAATCTATTGGGGGGGGGGGGACTTTGGGAGGCTATTTCCAATCTTGGGATTGTAGCTATTGATTCAAAGAGGGATTACAAGAGTAGAATTAATGAAATAGAAAGAGGAGATAAGGTTAGAAAGGTGGGAGGGAAGGAGCTTAATGTGTAAGCATTTTCTTTTTTAGTTGGTGTTTTTGGTTCTTGTGATTTTGAGGGATGCAGACAAAATTGTTGGTTCGGTTTGAGAGTATCTTTTGGTTGGTGACTCTATGGGGTTGTTTTCTTGTTGTAGTTTCGGTTGGTCAGTTCTTATTTGTCTCGGGTTTTCTACCTGTTCTTTTGTAAGCGGGTTTGAGTACTCCTAGTACTCAGTATCAATATATTTCTTGCTTATTAAAAAAATAAAGTATGATTTAGTATTTTTCATAATAAGTTGGAGCATATAAGAAAATTAAGTCCAACTTAAAAATGAAGTAATGAATCGAAGTTGAATAAGAGTTTTATTCAACACATTAGCTAACGGTTGAGTAGATGTCGAGTAGAGGTGATTAAAAGAAGATGAAACAAAGGTTTCTTATAATCTTTCTCGTATAAGGTGAAATTCAAGTTCAATATACTTTATATGTTCATGAAATGAGGAGTTGCAACATGTTGTATTAATTAGCTATCACAATATAATATTATTAATGGTAATGCAAGAAGTTTGAAATGATCGAGGAGGTAGGTAGGTTATTAGATTTTTTTGAGATATTAGATATAATATCAAGTATAATTCAAGTTAGACATGTTGAGATATTATATATAATATCAAATATAATCTAAGTTGGTAAGTCCAAGTCCAATTAGGATTGTATATAAATAGTCATAGTTTGCATTATTATTTGTACAATTCAAGTTAATAATATAATTCTTATTTCCTTTATTCTCTATTTGTCTCCTCACTAAAAGTGTCTCACACACTAATAAATTGGTATCAGAGCCTAGTTACGATCCAGGGACCTGTGGGTTATGGGTCCACCATGCTTCTGCTGCGAAGATGGCTGGTGATAAGGGTATTCTGAATTCTCTTTTGATGCTTGATGGAAAAAATTAGATATGATGGAAAAACAGATGCAATCTTTGTTTGACTTCCAAGATACCCTATAAGTGGTTATTGATGGTGTTCCTGCGCTGGCTGTAGATGCAATCGAAGCACAAAAAATTTCTCACAACAAAGTCAAGAAGAAAGATTGCAAGGCTGCTTATTGCATTCAGATGATGGTCGATGCTGATAACTTTGACAAAATCTCTCATACTGAAACGGTGAAGGAGGCATGGGATATTCTGGTCAAGTATTACGAAGGAGGTGAGAAATTCAAGGTTGTCAAGTTGTAGACCTTGCATCGATAATATAAATTATTGTCAATGGGAGAAGACGAAAAAGTTGCAGAATATGTATCGAAGGTCCAGAAACTCATCCATCTCATGAAGGATTATGGTGAAACCATAACTTATAAGATAATAGTTGAGAAGGTAACGTGAATATTGACCTCTCAATTTGATCACGTTATTTTAGATATTAAATAATCCAATCAACTTGAAACCCTAAAACTTGAAGATTTGGTTCATCGTTGGAAGCACATGAAATTAGGATTGTTGAAAGGAAAGGAGTTCAAGACTCTATACAAGCTCTGCAAGTTCAGTCATGGAAAATGAGTGATGATTCCAACAAATTCAAAGGAAAAGTAAAAAAGGCTCAAGGAAAAAAGTCTTGGTCGAACCCTCACAAGCATCAGGTCGAAGATAGAGCTTCTGAATCCTCGAAAAGAAGAGGAGGGAACTATCGAAAGGACAAAGAAGATAAGAAAAGTATGCAACGTTATAACTGTGAAAAGTGGGGTCATTTGACCAAGAACTGTTGGTACAGGAAAGACAAGGGATCGACAGGAAAGGACAAAGGAGCAAACCTCACACGCCAAGACTCATATGATTCTGAAGGTATGGTGGTTATGGTTGTAGTAATGGATAACCGTGTCGAATCCAAGATCTGGTTTCTTGACTCGGGCTGTTCGAATCACATTATTGGTCAAAAGATATGGTTGGTAGATTTCGACAAGTTGAAGAAGAGCAAGGTAAAACTTGTTGATAATAGTTCGTTGCAAGCAGAAGGTACTGGTAACATAGTTTTTCAAATGACAATTGGAGGGAAAGCTATGATCAAAGACGTGCTCTATGTACATGGAATGAAGTGCAACCTGTTAAGTGTTGGATAACTGGTCGAAAAAGGTTTCTCATTTTTCATGAAAGATGAAGCTTTAAAATTGTTTCACACCCGGAACAATTTAGTCTTGAAATCTCCTTTGTCGAAGAACAAGATGTTTAAGACCATGATTGGTTTGACTGAAGTACAATGTCTAAAACTATTATCGACCACAAGGATAATTGGTTATGGCATTTGAGGTTTAAACATTTGACTTTTCAACCACTTAATCGACTCATTACTCAAGATATGGTAACCGATATCCCAAGTCTTGAGATGTCCGACAAACTCTATGAAGGTTGTTTAGTCGGAAAGCAATCCATAAATTCTTTTGTTTCGAATATGCCGATGAGATAATCCTGCATACTCGATATGGTCCATTCGAAGAACATACCATTGGTGGTAACAAATATTTTGTTGTTTTTCAATGAGTACAGTCGAAATCTGTGGATCTATGTGATCAAGAGAAAGGAAGAAGTATTCAAAATCTTTAAGAGAATCAAGATACTTATCAGAAAAAAGAATGAGAAGAGGATCAAAGTTCTGGGAATAAATGGAGGTGGCGAATACACATCCAAGATGTTTGAAAATTTCTTTGCAGAACATGGTGTTGATCATGAGGTAACTGCTCCTTATACGCCTCAACATAATGGAATTGCAGAAAGAAGAAACAGAACCATATTGGATATGGCAAGATGCATGTTGAAGCAGAAGATTTTGCAAAAATATTTATGGGGAGAAGCTGTTTCGACTGCGGTTCATATTTTGAACAGGTGCCCTATGAAGAAATTGAAGAACAAGGTTCCTGAAGAAGCGTGGAGTGGCAAACGACCATCAGTAAGTCATTTTAAGGTGTTTGACTATATGTGTTACAAGCATGTTTCTGATGCAAGGAGAAGGGAGCTTGATGACAAAAGTGAACCTATGATTCTGGTAGGATATCATAAATTGGTGTATATAGTATATTCAATCCAATCATTGATGAGCTACAGTTTCGATGAAGAAACTGATGAAGTCGAAGTCGAAGAAATTGCATATATTCCAGTCAAAGTAGATGTCAAAGCAGTTGCTAACATTCCCAAAAATGTCAAAGTCGAAGAGGTGTGGTTGGTACAAGCCAAAGAACTCTAAGAACTAGAGTTCTTCCAGCAGGACTTCATGATTATGAAGTGGTTGGTGATGATGAAGTCACACCAGATGGAAAATTAGTTCATTTTTCTTTACTTGCAGGTGTTGAATCAATCAAATATAGTGATACTTTGAAGATTAAATAGTGAAAGTCTGCTATGTCGAAGAGTTACATGAAATTGAAAGAAACAACAAACGGGAGTTAGTCGAATTGCCATCACATACAAACGCTATCGAAGTAAAGTGGGTGTTCAAGTTAAAACACAATGTTGATGGATCGATAGCAAGATATAAAGCAAGATTAGTAGCTCAAGGTTTTCTTCAGAGAGCATGACTCGACTACTTTGAAGTATTTTCTCCAGTAGAAAGATTGGAGACTGTTCGACTAGTGGTAGCCTTGGTATGCAACCAAGGTTGGTCGATATTTCATTTAGATGTAAAATCGGTATTTTTGAATGGCTCTTTAGACGAAAAAGTAAATGTTACACAACCTTTAGAGTTTTTGATTTAGAAGGAAGCGAGTAAAGTATATAAATTATACAAAGCGCTCTATGGCCTCAAGTAGGAACCTAGGGCATGGAACAAAAAGATCGACTCATATTTAGTCGAATTGGAATTTGTCAAATGAAAATTAGAGTATGGTGTTTATGTTCAAGTTGTAGCACAAGATATAATAATCATCTGCTTATATGTCAATGACTTGCTAGCAATTGGAAATAGTTTGGAGAACTTGTCGAAGTTTAAAGAGCTGATGATGAAGGAATTTGAAATGTCGGACCCGAGAAATTGTCTTATTTCCTAGGCATGGAATTTCAAATGTCGAAGCAAGGTATGATTCTACATTAAAGGAAGTATGTCAAAGAGATACTCAAGAGATTCAGAATGGATGATTCAAATCCTACATCCTCACATGTCAAACCAAATGTGAAGTTGGAGAAGAATCGAGAGGAAGACAAAGTTAATGTAACTTTGTTCAAGTAAATTGTGGGATCTCTGAGGTATGTGTGCAATAGTCGACCTGATATAGGTTTCACAATCGAATTAGTGAACAAATACATGAGTGAACCAAGTGTGTCACACATGAAGGCTGCAAGAAGAATCCTGATACACTTTAAAGGATCGATAAATTATGGAATATTATTTCGATAAGACTCTGAAAGCAAAGAAGCTACAATTAATTGTTTTTCAGATGCTGATTAGTGTGGAGATAAGGAAGATCGAAGAAGCACAACTGAATATTTCTTTCAAGTATTCGGTGCCTCAATCTCATGGTGTTTGAAAAAGCAACTTGTGGTGGCATTATCATCGCGTGAAGCTAAATATATATCATGATCATATGATGCATGTCAAGCAATTTGGATCAGATTGGTACTTGAAGAAATGAAGGTCGAAGTGAAGAAATATTTTTTATTGCAAATTGTTGTACCCAAAAATTTTCCCTCCCATTTCCTCAACATTCTCTCATCACAAGACCCTTGGAGCTCAAGATCCAGTTAGGATTTCCTCTGCTCAAGACTTCTCCTTGCACTGTTGACCCAAATTAGGGTTTGTGTTTGCACAAAGATGTTTTGACCTAAAAGGCCCAAAGTGACTTTCATGCTTCATGTTGGACTCACAAGTTTATCCATACCAAGTTTCAAGCCTTGATTCGAATCTTTGCCCAACCAATTGGACAGTTGACCTAGAAATCAGCTGTATTGGGGAAAAAGTCAAC